AAAAATCTATTAGAAAAGTATGCTATGTGTATTGCAACAAATTCATTTACTCATGGCCATTATGTTCTTAGTCAAACAATCTCTGGTGAAGCAGGTTGGTCCAGTTAACAGCAGCAAACACTCCTGCCACACCCACGAGCTCTGCCCCTCCATTCTCCATTGTAGGGTGGAGCATCTCAAGGGGCAGAACAGTCTCACATCCTGCCCATCACATCTCAGTCCCACACACCTCACTGAACCTTATTTTACAACACAGAACGGGGGCCCCATGGCCAGCAAATACGGGTTTCACAGCCTTCTTTATGCATAAAGTGCACACAAAAAAATGCCAGCTTTCCTGGTCTGACAATCTGCTGTGGCCACTTAGAAAAACTGGCTTTCCTGACCTTGCTGTTTCTCCAAAGTAGCATCTCACACCTGCAACTCAAACCCAGTACGAGAGACAGACAGAATGCACATGGCACAAATCCTGACTTTTTAAATGTCCCGTACAAAGTAAATGAGATACCACCTCAGGTACAAAGTGTAGTTCTCAATCAGCCATAAATTGATATAGGATTCTGAGTTCCCTTGAAGTTCACTTGTAGTGCTCTGCTTCAGGTTATTTCACAATTTGTATATTACAGATGCATGCAACAAGAGGATGTAATTCTGATATGAAAGCCATAGTGCCAAAAAGGAATGACAATTTCATTAAAATAAAATTTTCACCCATGAGCTCTCTTTCATGTTAACATGGATAATCAAGAAATTATCTAAATTCTTATAACCTTAACAGAGTCACAAAAGAGATTAAATGTCTCTCGGCGTCTCTGAGTTGCTTCTTACCCTTTGGTGTCAGTCACTCTAAAGCAGTGGTTCTCAACCATCCTAATACCGCGACTCTTTCAGACAGTTCCTCATGTTGTGCTGACCCCCAACCATAACATTATTTTCATTACTACTTCATCACTGTCATTTTGTTACTGTTATGAATCAGGCGACCCCTGTGAAAGGGTCATTCGACCTCCAAAGGGGTCAAGACCTACAGGTTATGAACCGCTGCTCTAAACAGTGCAGAATAATGTGTAGCTAATATCTTTAAATCATTTCACTAAGAAAAAAAATAGATCTAAAAAGATGTCACAGGAGAAAACCACTTAAGTTAAATTCAGATTTTCTTCTTTCCAAAATCTGATTAAAAATCTAGACAACCAGCAAAACTATACTGTACCAAAAAGCTTTACTACTAACATTTTAACCTAAACCATAAACATAATCCTTTATATTGTTGGGAATAAAATGCCAAGTGATTCTGAAGGATCTGTAAATATATTAACGTGTTTAATAACACTCAAACCAAGATGTAAATAATGAAATGTTTGGTTTGACCAGTTAGTGAAAAAGAAAAACAATGTTTGAAATACACAGATTTAGACTTAGGATTAAAATATTTATCTCAACAACAAAAATGATAAAATATGCTATAGAATCAACTTAAATTCTGTTTGAGCTTTTACAAACCAAGACTAACATGATTAGTCTACAACTATTGTTTCAAATACAAAGCTTACCTAAGATATTCATTACTTATGAAAACTAAGTTCTAAGTATGTACCAAAGATTAAAGGCTATATCAAATATCTAAAACTTTCAAGTCACAGCTTAATTAAAATATATATTGTTTCATTGACTTCAAAAAAATAACCATGAAACTATTATACTAGGTTTCAAAAGTGTGGTTGTTGAATTTACTTTAAAAGCTTTTTTATTTTTTAGAATTTCAATGGAAAGAATTTAAATTAAAAATCCTTAGGTTTACTGGTCCCAAATATAAATCCAACATTTTTAATGAGAATAATTTTTTAGAAACTACAGTTGATAAACTAGAATGCAAATATCACTGCCAGTAACTTCTGTCTACTACATTCAAGAGAATCTATTGTATATTAAATAACAAAAAGCGAACTCATCTACCCTCTCAGCACTTTCTCCACTTTCCCATTACAATTAACAATGTAACTCAGAGCTCAAGTCTTCCAGACCAAGAACATCAGAGTTTATTTTTAACTTCTGACTCCACAATTATTCCCTTTCAATCCATTCCAAAATTCTGCCAGTTCTCCATTCAGTCTCTTTATATTTTAAATGGAAAGGTCATTCAATTTTCCTGTTTTACGTTTTCCCTCATTATTCACCTTACACCCTAATATCTCCCTAAAAGGATTCTAATGTCTCTATCTAGTCCATCATCAACTGGGCTGCCCAAATCAACTTCAAATATCTTATACAGTGGCCTCCAGATCATCTTCTAAATCTCAACTAAACTCTTTTTTTTTTGTATATATATTTTTAAACATTTTATTAGGGGCTCATACAACTGTTATCGCAATCCATACACACATCAATTGTGTAAAGCGCATTTGTACATCATTCTCAAAACATTTTCTCTCCACTTAAACCCCCAACATTAGGTCCTCATTTTTCCCCTCCCTCCCCGCTCCCCCCTCCCGCATGAGCCCTTGATAGTTTATAAATTGGTATTTTGTCATATCTTGCCCTGTCCGACGTCTCCCCTCACCCACTTTTCGTCAACCAAACTCTTTAGAGTACCCCCTACCCTTTCCATATTTCTCAAATTCCAACCCCTTTTATTTTCCTATTTAGTCCCCTTTAATTCATACTTACCAACTTGCCAGCTGTCTCCCATACAAAAATCACCATCTCTGTGCCTCTGCCCATACCTTCTATCTAGAACCCCCACAAGCTCCTCTATCAATTCAACTTACTGCCTCCTTTCACACTAGTCTTAAACCATATCTACAGAAAGTCTTCCCTCCCCAACCCATAAACTTCACCCCTTAACTGTGTCTCTCAGAACAAAGGGTTCATTTTCTATTTTATCATCTTGCAAACATCATGCTATTATTTCATATTTTGTATCATATATTCTAGAGCCTAAGAGCCACAATGCCTTACTATGTATCTTTTGAATAGAGAGGTTCTTTAGAAGGTTTGTTAGAAGGCTTCTAACAAATCCTTAATGACAAAGTTATCAAAAAACACATAATTAACATTAACCTCACAAATTATAAAATTTTAGTTGATCTATACAGTAACAAAAAGAAATATTTTAATCTATACACTATAAACATCCTCAACCTCATACTATGAAGAATTAAAGCATTTTCAAAGAAAATCCTGGAAACAAAAAGCCCAAAAGTTTAGCACTATAAGCTCTCTGAAATAGATCTAATGAATTAATTGCCTAAAATTGATCTCAAGTGGTTTTTAAAGTATATTACCAAGAAGTAAAACATACAAACACTCCAGTGGCACAAGAGGCTCTTAAGTAGCTATTATAAGATTTGCTTCATCATAGTTGAAAATTACCCCAGAATTTTTAAGTATTCCTTTCAAATGACCCCATGAAGTGCTTAGAAAGCTTGACCCTTCCCCAAAAAATGCACAATCAGCTTCCCTCTTCTCTTCTAGCTAGTCTCTTGGGTGGGGCATGGGGGTGGGGGAAAGGGATTTAAGGAAAGGGATTTCAAGAAGCATCGCCCACCTAGTATTCCCCTTGGCCTACCCTGCTTTGGGGTAGTTCCAAAAGCCAAAATGATTTAACATCTTGAATTCAGTGAAAAGTGATCATTTCATATTGCAGAAGGATGTAGTCCATTTCCCATACATGCACACCCCTTTTTAAAATTTAAGTTCTTCAGTTGGCTCGTTTCTTCTGTGCAACAAAATAGGTCATCTATGCTCCTTTTGTACAGTCACATGAAAACAATGTCCGTACAGGAACTACAATATCCATAACATTGTCAAATTCTGAATGCTTAAAATAAGTCTTCATTAAGCACCACAGCAAAGATACAATAAACATCTCCACAAAGAGTTACACTGGACCAGGATACTTGGTACACCAACCACTTCATGAATATCCACTTTCCAGCACAAATCAGGTACCAGAGAACCTCAAGTCTGGCAACAACTGTGATCACAAATATCCCCTCTCGCTAGGACCGACCACAGCCTTCCGTAAAGGAAAGAACTCAATCCAAATTCCTCTAACTAAATCTGTGTAATCCAAATGTGACCGGAAGCTACCGTAAGAGTATTTTAACTAGCCCTAAAAAGGGATTCTCGGGAGCACTGAACAAGAAATGACTGCAATTCCAGTTTGGGGAAACTGAACTTGGATGGCAATGAGTTAGTGACAAGGAACATTTATCTTAATTCTTGGCAATATGCTATTACAAACCTCATTTTGATTAAACAAAAATTACAAAGCAGTAAATGTAAGGAATGTACTGGAGCGGCAAGGTAGAGGCTAACGCATTCAGCCACGTATCCAATGGCAGACAATGCGCGCAGAGATGCTCCCTTGGCTGGCAGCGCGGCTCCCCAGGCCCTACCAAAGGGGGAGCCCAAGCTCGCCTGCCAACCGGACTGCTGGCCACTGAATAAGTTCACCCCGGGGCGGCCAGCACTCTGTCCAGTGACACAGGCAAGAAACGTTAGCAGGCTGTCACCTTTAGTGTCTCCACCACATATGCAAAGCCACGCTAAGCCTCCAGCGCCAAGCTCACTGAAATCTGCCCAAAGCCGGCTCCTCTGCGAATGTGCACAATGGTCTGGGAAGCTAGTCTTGCCCTTCATCTTTATTCAAAAGGATGAGCGAGGAAACCTTTCCAGCGCCATCTGAAGCTGGAAAACGCTCCCGCACTTAACGAAGGGGGCTACCCACCGCAAGGCAAGCCCGAGACACGTTCCGAATCAAACGAGTCAAAGAAAATTCAGATCCTGTCAATTCAAGGTTAATGAGACCGGGGAGGAGCCGCGGAGAAGAAAAGGGGGAGCTGCCTCATCCTTCCTCGCCTGAAGACCGCTCTTGCCCTCTCCCATTACCCAGATTGTTCCACTCGGAGGTCTCGCCTTTTCACAGCCCAGTCTTTCAACCTTTCTTATTTCCAGGGCAAGGTGGAGAGAGGGTGTAAAATAAAATCAATACTCACTGCTAACTTTCATGCTGCCAAAAGCTGAAGGCTGCTGCACTGGCTTGCAGCTCTCCGCAAAGGAGGTGGTTCTGGGCCGCCCTGACATGATCACTCCCTTCTCGAATCACCTTTTCCTTCCTTTCTCCTCTTCTTCCTTTTGTTTTATGCTGGGGGTTGGGGGGTTGTTAGGTTAATGATAAATGCAGCATTAAGTTCTCCACAAGAAAAAGAAGAGGGGGGTGATCAAAAAGACTTTGTCCTCTTGACTTTTCACTCCTTTTGTATAGCTACTAAAAAAAAATCGATGTATTTCTCTTTCAAGACAGATCGCTCTGGGTATTTCTCATACAGATTTGAGGTTGGAGGAAAAATATATATACAATTCTTTCTCGTCCCTATCAGGATGGGAGGACGGGGTCGGGGTGGGGGGGTGGGGGTTTGAGGATTCTAAAAAATATATATCAGGTGAAACGGGGACAAATACTTGATTGAAAATAAGTACTTTGAATATAGTATTTTCCTCGCGGATTTTTTTCCGAGTCAATGAAGAAGGGAAGCGGCGGAAGGATCACGAGTCTCACACTTGAAGTGAAGGGGGATGGGAAGGAGGGAGGGAGAGGGAGGGGTGGCTCGGAGATGCGACGGGAAACGCTGCGGCTCCGGCGGCGGCGGCGGGATCGGGCGGGCTGACGACGGGGCCCCGGCGGACAGGAGAGCGGCGGAGTCGCGACTCAGTCAGACGCGGGCGGTGGCGACGGCTCCTCTCCTCATTGCGCCAGGAGCAGCTGCAGGCGGCGGCTGGATCCAGCGGCCATGGCGGCGGCGGAGGCAGCTCCCTTCAGATCCCAGGCAGCGGCTCCTGGACTGCTCCCCATACGCTGGGGACATGGGAGCCCGGCAACCGCTTCCGTCCCTCGGGCCCCCTCCCCCGTTCACGGCACCAGTGAGGCCGCCCTCCTGCCCCTCGCCTCTGCTCGGTGCCGGCTCAGGAAGTGTCCACGCTGTGCCCCCAGACCGGAGCACTGTCAGCGGCTGCGGGACCGGCTCCTCCTCGCTTCCTTCCTTCCTTTGTCACTCGGCCCGGGCGGCGGCGGCGGCGGCGGCAGCACAAGCCCGCATTCGCCCGGGTCGGGGGCTGCTCAGTGTGAGGAGAACTGTCTGCGCAGCCGCGGAGCTCTTCCCCCCTACTCCTCCTCCCCTCCGACTCGTCCTCCGCCTCCTTCCTCCCCCACCCAGCCCTACACCGCCCAGAGCCCCGCCACCCGCGTAACAGGCGTCTGGGAATCGCCGGCCGAGCCCCGCGCCCGCCCTCTTCGGCTGCGGAGCCGAAGCCCAAGCGGGGCCAATCACAGACGTCGTTTGTTTGCGGCTCCTACCGGAAAAAGCCGATTGACATGAAGAACCAATTGAAGAGTGTTACTAGAAAGCCACGCCCAAGGAACGGAAAATGCCGAAGATAACCGAACCAGAGGAAGGTGGATTCGCCTTGTTCTGTGGCTGGCTAGGGGGAAAAAATTCGATTATGGCAAAGATAACCAATCAGAATCGCTGGTTCTCAAGAAATAGCAAAAAGAGTTAAAGACGATGGAACCCAGAGCTCCTGGTGAAACAATACTCCCGGACGCCTCGGCCGTTTCGTCATTGGCTGAAAAACTCCGCTGGGAGTATACCTCATTCGGTGATTGGATAAGGGAAGGGGACTTCCGAGGACAGTCTAACCAATGAAAACGACTTTTCCCTCGCAAGGTGGGGCGATGAAGAAACCTCAGGGAGGGCGTCTATAAGGCGCTTTCTGATTGGCTTGAGGCTTTAGAAATGAAATGGGGGCAAAAGGGAAAGGGAGGGGGCCCGAAACTTGGCTGCGATAGCCAATCGGCACTCACTGCCGTCTTATCGCAAGACCTCGCTGCTGTACGATTGGCCTGCAGCCCACAGCGGCGGTCCCTGGAGCTAGGAGCTTGACTGTGGTGGAGGCGGGCCGACTCGCCTGCTGCTGCTCCTGAACCAAAGAAAAGCAGCACTTGGGGAGCGAGCTCCTTTTTGTATCCGCTTCGCAAAGCCCGTGCGCATCCTGAGGTCCGCGGGGCTGGGTTCTGTTACGAAAAGAGGGCCCAGGGACTCTCCCACCCTCTGGAGTCGGCGGGGTGCGGCTGATTCTGGGGCCCCCTCAGGCTGGGATCGCACGTCTCGAGCACCGGCCTTCCCGGAAGGGCCAAAGGAGCCAAACGGCCTTCCCCCGCTGGATGCGAATTTTCAGAAACTGAAGTGGGAACAAAGCTCCCACAAAAGCAGGGCCTTTGGGCGGCCGCGCCCCGCCCCTCCCATCCGCGGGGGCCATTGATAGCGCGAGGCTGACTGCGCCCGGTGCGTCAGCCGAGCAGCCCCTGCTGGAAACGCCCCTGAGGAATGAGCTCATTCTGGTTGCGCGCGCTCCTCGGACGCGCCCGCCCCATGCCGAAGGAGCTTTCTGCAAGCAGGTGAGGGGAAATGCCGTCAGGCCGGATATCCTCAAGTCCGAGGAAACAAGAGCCCTGAGTGGCTTCGGGTCTCACTTCAGTGGGTTTCACACATATTCCAGCGTGCATCATTGTACCAGAGAACCAATTTTTTTTTGGACCGTGAGTCAGGATAGTAAGCAACGTTGAATGGATAGTTATCCTGAGGACAATCCATTGAGCCCTGTAATTTCCACCTGCAGTCATCCCTTTCGGCTAAAATGCTGTCTCCGCATGTAAAAGTACTCATACTTGATCTAACTACCTAGGATTGCATTGAAAATCGGCGGAAGGACTTGGGTAGAACAAAATAAACTTTAGTAGGAGGCAGGGCTTCTAGAGAGGAATGGCACACTATCTAGATTGTAGAGGCAAGGAAATTAAAGCTAAAGAGTGAAACGGAGCTGGTGTTGGACGATAGGAAATAATAGAGAATGTAGTAACTTGAATGTCCATGCCGAAACTAAAGGAGCAGGTGCACCTCCATTTTAGCAGATCGTTGACCTTCGTAATGTTGAGTCACGGTTTTAAGGGCTGGATTCTTATATAAAATTTCTAGATTTTTAAATGTTGACAACCAACATTTAAAACACTGCAGGCCAAGCTAAAAACATCCTTTTGGTAAACATGGGCAACAAAGAATCAATTTGCACTATCCAGATATTTTGTAGCCCAAAAGTAAGGCAGTTAAGTAAGACAGTAAAGGCCCTTGTTTGTCACTGGGGAGGATAAAGAATATTAAAGACAAACTCAATTCATGGCAGTCTTGTCATCCGATTGCTGGCTGTCCATGCTATTAAATAAAAGGTCTTTGCCACTGCCCTTAAAATACTGTGAGGTAACCTATAAATCCTGCTTTCCTTTGATAATCAGCGCAAAAGTGACCAGCAAATGTTTTCATCATACAAATTGGAAACATGGTTTTTAATTCATTATAATAAAGAACAAAAATAACCTTAGTTGTAATTAGCTTTACTGTTGCCCTTTTCAAATATTTGAAACTGATGCTGTTAAAACCAAAAGCTGAACAAGAACAGGATATTTGATAGGGAAAAATAAGTATTGCTACTAGGCTTTTCAAAAAAACTAGTTATTTTCCAAAAAAATGTGTTGAAGCATGCTTCTGAAATTACTGGGTGACTACAGATAAAGTTCTCTCAGTAACACACTTCTCTTGGTCTCATTACAACACCTTCAAAAAACTGGATATTTTTGTGTCATGGGAGGAGGGGTTGGTTTTAAGGTCAAGGTTAATAGCAAGTATTTAACAAAAATCAAGTGGACATTTTCCACAATCCTTGAAAATTTGCAACAAGTTTGTGGGAATGCTACCCCACATACAACAATACTTTTGTGGTGGATCAAGCATTTTAAGTGAGGAGCCACAGTCCCAAAGACATTGACTGAAAAAATGAGTAAAAAGAGGGAAGACCATTGTTGTCCATGAAGAAAGAGTGGCTGAATCCCAGAAACTGGGGGAATGACACTATAAAATTGCCAGTGTTTTGACAGCTCCTGAATATTTTTTAAGTTATTAAAAGTTCATTTTATTGGGGGCTCTTACAACTCATAACAATCCATACATAAATCTTATCAAGCATATTTGTACATATGTTGCCATCGTTCTTTTCTAGAACTTTACTTTCTATTGAGCCCCTGGTATCAGATCTCCCCGCCACCCCACCTCATGACCCCTTGATAAATGATAAATTATTATTCTTTTCATATCTCACACTGACTACAGTCTCTCTTCCCCCATGGTTTCTGTTCTTCCCCCTGGAGGGGGGAGTGTGGTTATGTGTCTATCTTTGTGATCGGTTCCCCCTTCCTCCCCTCCTCTCCCCACCTTCCCCCTCCCCTTCTGGTATCGCTAGTCCCATTCCTGTTCCTAGATTCCGTGTGCCATGAGCTCTTATCTCTTATCTGTACCGGTGGACCTGCTCCGGTCTAGTCTAAAGTGAGAGGCAGCACTGGGGTCATGATAGTGGGGGGTGAGGAAGCCTCAAGGACCCTGAGGAATGTTGTGTATTTCGTCGGTGCTTTACTGCACCCTGGTTGATTCATCCCGACAGCTACTGAATTTTAATTCTTTTTTTTTTTTCAAGTGTAAGTGATCTTCTTGGCCCCAACAAACTTTCAGCTTGAAGGGTGGCACAGCATTGCATGAAGGTCAGCTAGCTCAAAAACTGATCTTTCTATTAGTCTTATTAAGCAAGATCAAACATAATGAAAACAATTCTATAGAATCATAACCAAGGAAAAGTCTTAAGATTTCCCAATATGTTTCAGAGAGCAAGTTCCAATGAAGACAGTGACTTCAAGGGATTCTTCTGAACCAGTTAAAAGTTAATTTAATTCAAAGGATTGTGATTTCGGGACAGTATAAAGATCTATTCCCATGATACATTTTCTCAAATGATAGAAGGATAACCATGGGGTTTATTATAAAGAAGTTTTTTTGTTTTTGTTTCTGTTGTTGTTTCTGTATGTTTAATTGAAAACTACATTGATAAGAAAAAGCAAGGAAAGTTGTGCCAAGGAATTTTCCCCCCATCATGACAGTGCATCAGCTTGTACCTGGAAGGTAGTAAGGGCTGTCAGGTGAACTTTTCATTTGGAACTTTTTCCCACCCATCCTAAAGCCCTGATCTTCCCCCTTCAGACTTCTCTGCTCCTAAAACTCAAAGAACATTCAAGGGAACCTGATTTGAGTCCAAGGATGTCAAAACAGCTGTTTCTACATGGTGCAAATGGAAGGTGAGAGCGATGGAAACATGCACTTCAGAAGTGTATAGTCCTAGATGGAGGATACATCGAAATGATAGGCTCACATTTTGATGTTTTTACTTGATAACAGTGTCTATGGCTTTGTAGCAATACTTTTTGGCTTCCACCATATTTCACTGTAAGAATTAGCGCTTGGGAGAAA